TCTGGGTTTTGGATGTGACCACATATACTGCTCTGTCTCTCTGAAGATGAGATTAATGCCTACCGCACTCATAGGGCACTTCTGTGAGGGAGCTACTGTGGCCGTGAAACAACAGAAGAATAACTGGCCTCTGGCAGGATTAAATGTCACTCTGATCTCAGTCGCAGTACATTCTAACCAACATTAGTGATTTCAAAGCACAAAGATGCAGCAGATGCTGGCTCTGCATTAGGGTGACCTAGAAGTTGGTGAGGACTATTGTAAACTGTTTCCACAGACTTACTTCCACCTGCACCAGGATGCATTCAGTGGCTCCTTCCCCGTGTTTGCAGTTAAATGCAGCCGACCCTCGGGCAGGCCTAGAGCTCACCTCTGGGTCTTCTGCTGTGTTGCAGTTGTTAGCCGAGGAGAAAACCATCTCTTCCAAATATGCGGATGAAAGGGACAGAGCCGAGGCGGAAGCCAGGGAGAAGGAAACCAAGGCCTTGTCCCTGGCGCGGGCCCTGGAGGAGGCCTTGGAAGCCAAAGAGGAACTCGAGAGGACCAACAAGTTGCTCAAAGCCGAGATGGAGGATCTGGTTAGCTCCAAGGATGATGTGGGCAAGAACGTAAGTCGCTCTTCCTCGTCTCTGCTTGTCCAGGTTTCCCCCACCCGCCCTCTCTGCTGTTTTTCAGTCCGTGGTCGGGGAGGGGGTGGTTGGCTCTGTGCCTCTTTCATGATAAGCAACCATCAGGAACTGAAGGTACCCTCAGGCTGGTGCAAAGACAGAGCCTGGCTGGAAACAGCACTTGGTATGGGGCAGGGGTGGGGTGGGGATCTGAGTCAAGGTTCTGAGAGGAAGGCTCTGGTCTGGACTCCTAGTCACACATCCTGTGGGTGGCAAAAGCCGTCTCCTTGACCTTGATGAGCTGCCTGTCACTGGGGTGGCTGGACCATCCTCACAAAGTCAACCGTCATGTAAACAAGGTCCATGAGCTGGAGAAGTCCAAGAGGGCCCTGGAAACCCAGATGGAGGAGATGAAGACCCAGCTGGAAGAGCTAGAGGACGAGCTGCAGGCCACAGAAGACGCCAAGCTGCGGCTCGAGGTCAACATGCAGGCCCTCAAGGGCCAGTTTGAGCGAGATCTCCAGGCCCGGGATGAGCAGAATGAAGAAAAGAGGAGGCAGCTCCAGAGGCAGGTAATCCATCTGGGGGGTGGAGGGGTGGGGGGGAGGGGGACATGGGGCGGCCTGCTTCCTTCCTTCCACCGCTACTTCCTGGAGACTCTGATTTCTCACCTGTGAGCACGGGATGAGAAACCCACCTCGCAGGTGGTTGTGCTCACCTGGGCACTGGGTCAAGGCTGCGGCAGGGGGAAGGGCTCTGAGGGGCGGTCCTACCCCCCAGCGCACGTCCCTCTCCTCGCTCAGCTTCACGAGTACGAGACGGAACTGGAAAATGAGAGAAAGCAGCGTGCCCTGGCAGCTGCGGCCAAGAAGAAGCTGGAGGTGGATCTGAAAGACCTTGAGCTGCAGGCCGACTCGGCCATCAAGGGGAGGGAGGAAGCCATCAAGCAGCTTCGAAAACTGCAGGTGGGTGATGCCCTGAGAGCGCGGCGAGGGGAGTCGGGTCAGCGGCAGGCCTCCCTCGGTCACTGCTGCCTGTTCTACACCACTTAGCTTTTGGTGGCTGTTTCCAGCCCTGGGCGGGGCACTGTCATCGGGCATTTGGCCGCAGCCCTCAGGTCATGTCACAATGTCGTAGGTCGGCTGAGCCCAGCTAGAACGGTGCACCCAAGCAGCCACCTGGCCACCTGAGGCTGAGGGCTCTGTGGTTATGTGGGAAATCCCAGGTGTTGGCACAGAAAGGCAATCTGAGCAGCAGGTCTCAGTAAGGACCTCCTGGCTTGTCCCTCCTGTTGACTCACGCAGGCTCAGATGAAGGACTTCCAGAGAGAGCTGGAAGATGCCCGTGCCTCCAGGGAGGAGATCTTTGCCACGGCCAAAGAGAACGAGAAGAAAGCCAAGAGCTTGGAAGCAGAGCTCATGCAGTTGCAGGAGGTGAAGACTTCTCCTGGCTCTGAGAGCCCTGGTGGGGAGACTGTGGTAGCAGCCCTGGGCACCCAGGCTTGTGCACCCTCGCCCAGCATCCCACATGGGTGGACCCAGTAGCGAGGGCAGGGAGAGACACGGGGTTTTCTCCATGATGTATCTGCAGGCCTCCCCCTGGGCTCAGAGGAGGCAGAGCCACTGTCAAGGGTGGCCGTGGAGACTGCTGGGGGCCTGGTAACAGGAGCAGGGTGGATGCTCGGGGCAGGGGATTCAGTCCTTCCCCGGCAGACAACAGGTTTCCTTCCCCACCGCCTCCCACCATCCAGGATCTAGCCGCAGCCGAGAGGGCTCGCAAACAGGCAGACCTGGAGAAGGAGGAACTGTCCGAAGAGCTGGCCAGCAGCGTGTCAGGAAGGTATGAGCCGCATGGGGAGGAAGGGGGGTTCCCTAGACTCAGATGATGAAGAAGAGATGGTCACAGGAGAGCCTCCTAGACCCCAGTTTAATACTGAAAATGATACAATGTTCAGCTGAGCCTGTGATGGGGGTCACAGAGCTTTCATATCCTATTTGGGGGTGTAGCTCAGTGAACAGCGTGAGGGAACGGACATCCGGGGACATCATGGAGGAGAGAGCTCGTCCTTGTCCCAGGCTTGGCTCTGCTGATCCCAGCTAGCTCCCCACTTCCCAGCTGTGTGACTGTGGACAAGCTTCTCTGAGCCTCAGTTATAAAAGAAGGAAACTCCACAGCGTTGCTCTTTTAAGAGAGGAAGTTCTCTGAGGCATAGGCGGCTGGAGGCCCCAGAGCTGCTGCCTTCCCCTTAGGAACACGCTGCAGGATGAGAAACGCCGCCTGGAGGCCCGGATCGCGCAGCTGGAGGAGGAGCTGGAGGAAGAGCAAGGCAACATGGAGGCTATGAGTGACCGCGTCCGGAAGGCCACGCAGCAGGTGGGCACAGGGCAGCACGTGCCTTGGATCTGCCCTGGTTCAGGACATGCCTTGTAGGCTCCTGTGTGCCAGGCCTGGGTTGGGGTGATGAGAGCGTGGAGATGGGGCAGTAGAGACCCGCCGTGTCCACTCCCATGTACCCATCCCCTCTTCCGGTCACGCCAGCACCCTGCTCGCTATCCTTGGAGCACTTAGCACCAGCCTGCAGGGTCCCCATTTGGTGGTTCCCTCCAGCAGATGATGCATGCCTTCCTGCTCTTTCCCCAGCCCCTATCAACAGTGAGCACTCAGTGACATCACTGGGCACCAGCTCTACGATGGGGACCATTGTGTGACCTAGAGCCAGGGAGCCCGGGTGGCACTAGGATGTTGCCTGAAGAGCTGCCTCTTGAGCTGAGCCTTAAAGGATGACTAGGAAGGAGCTGGTGGCTGGAGGAGAGGGGGAGGACTCCTGGGTGCTCCAGCTCCAGGGACTCACACAGAGGCAGACAAAGGCTGGGGACTGTGGGGAAGTTGTTCATCTCAGTTGATCACCTCGATGCCCCTCTGTGCCCTCCACCTGGTGACCTTACCCTCCTCTCCAGGCTGAGCAGCTCAGCAACGAGCTGGCCACGGAGCGCAGCACCGCCCAGAAGAATGAGAGTGCGCGGCAGCAGCTCGAGCGGCAGAACAAGGAGCTGCGGAGCAAGCTGCAGGAGATGGAGGGGGCAGTCAAATCCAAGTTCAAGTCCACCATTGCGGCACTGGAGGCCAAGATTGCACAACTGGAGGAGCAGGTCGAGCAGGAGGCCAGGTACGAAGGGACCAGCACCCCAATGACAGCCTGCTGGCCAGTGAGTGGCAGGGCGCTGGGGGTCAGTCAGCCCCTCTAGGCATCAGTTTGGGCTGAGAAATGAGCTCAGTGGTACCCACGCTGCAGCTGTGCTGGGAGAGCTAAGTGAGAACACAGGAAGGTGCATGCCCTCGCCTGGATCCTCACTGATGTCAGCCAGGCTCCCCAGGAGCTCACATCCCTTTACCTAACCTGTGTGTGCAGGATGTCACATTAACAGGGACACAAAACGTCAGGCTGTTCAGCACACGCAAACACGGGAAGTCTTCTCCCTTAAATACGTGCGGTCACAGCGCATTCATGACCCTCAGCTAGGGCTGGGGTCCTTGCATGCCTTTTTCTTCTGGTAGATGGCTCACATGCCACACAGCTCCCCCACTGAAAGTGTACAGCTCGGTGGCTCCCAGTATACAGTTCATAGGCAACACTCATCACAGTCAACTGTAGGACACTGTTACCACCTCAGGAGGAAACCCTGTACCCTTAGCCATCACCCTCTCCCATCCCCAGCCCGAGGCAACCACAGATCTACTTTCTGTCTTTATGGTCCATTCTGGACGTTCTGTAAAATGCAACGACACAGCAGGAGGCCCCTGGTGACCGGTCCTGTCACTGAGCATGTTTTCAGGGTCCCCCGTGATGAGCAGGTGTCAGCACTTCGTTCCTTTCCCTGGACGAATACTGTTCCAGGGATGAGCCCTGATTTGGGCTCCGGGAAAGCGCCCACAGTGGGTGGGTGTGGTGCCGGTCTGGTTTACACACCGACTGCAGGGGAGGCCCTCCCCCTCTGAACCGTCCCCGCTCCCCGTCCCGTATGCACAGAGACAAACAGGCGGCCACCAAGTCACTGAAGCAGAAGGACAAGAAGCTGAAGGAGGCCCTGCTGCAGGTGGAGGAGGAGCGCAAGATGGCAGAGCAGTACAAGGAGCAGGTACCCACGCCCCAGCCCCGCCCAGCCCTGCTGCCCGGCCACGGGGCCCCCCTGACCCCCAGGCCACTCCCTGACAGGCCGAGAAAGGAAACGTGAGGGTCAAGCAACTCAAGAGGCAGCTGGAGGAGGCAGAGGAAGAGTCTCAGCGCATCAACGCCAACCGCAGGAAGCTGCAGCGGGAGCTGGATGAGGCCACGGAGAGCAACGAGGCCATGGGCCGCGAGGTGACGGCGCTCAAGAGCAAGCTCAGGTGAGGGCCCGGCCCCCGGGGGCCTCGTCTCGTGGGCTGGGTGCGCAGGTCAGCCTGGAGCACCCGCAGAGACTTGGGGTATCGACGCAAAGCCTCCCTCTCCCCAAAGCCCTGGCGGCTTTCCTGCTCAGCATCGTGGACGCGGCGCCAGCCAGCAGGTGCGGGATGGGGGCGGGGCCAGATCACACTGAGCAGCACACCTCCTATTCTGACAACCGACCCATCCCATCCTCCTGGTGAGGAGGAGGAGGCAGCATCTCCGTCTCCTGAACTCTTTCTTCACTGCATCCTCGACAACTGCAGAATGCCTTCTCTCTTAACCTTTCCTCTGGACTTTCTCTTCCCCACCTTTCCCTCAATCATGGTTTCTCAGCACTGCTGATGTTTGGAGCTGGACAATTCTTTGTTTATCGTGGGCTGCCGTGTGCATTGTAGGATGCTGCGCTGCATCCCTGGCCTCCACCCATTAGACGCAGTGGCATGTCCCCGGCTGTCCCCCGGGGGTGCCATCATCCAGCCAAGACCTTCTGCCTTAGGTGGACTCTGTACTTCTGAGCTCCGTCCCATCCCGCAGTCCACCTGCTTCCCTGAATGTTTCAGCTCTGAACTTCCTGTCACACTTGCTAACACCCTCCAGGTGGATGATCCAGCCTCTCCAGTCCCTGACTCTCTCTCCTCCAGAGCCCGCCACTCCCCAGGCTTTCCCAGTTAACTTTCAGCCCCAACCTGACCGTCAACCATCTGCCTGCCATCACCTTTCTCTGGCTCACTTCCTGTGTCTCCGCTGGGGTCTTTTCAGCCCCTCGGCTCATCCTCCCTCGGGTGAGACTCTGTGGTTACGGTCAGCCTTTCCCACATCCTCAACACTCTGGTCCCTCCTGCTGTGTTGTACTCACTGGGTTAAAACTCAGATTAAACCCAGCTGCCCACCTTCTGCAGCTCAGAGTGGTGTGGGAAAGCAAACAGGCGTGCTGCCACTGTGCCTGGAAACACCAGGCTGACCCCCCTAGGGCTGCCTGGACCGCCCCCTCCCCCGTATCCTCTCACTTTTCACCCTCCCTAAACTTACTGTCTCCACCATCCTCACTCAGCTAATGACCTCACCTCCGACTTAACGGGAAGACAGAAACGTTCACTAAGTATAGACAAGCTCCCACCTCCCTCCATCCCTGCTCGTTTCGTCTACTTTTCCCCCTAATTCTGTGCCGAACTGTCCAGCGCCAACTGAGGCCAACCCCTGTTGGGCTCCCCTTCTTGTTTATTTGAGGATATTGCTCTAGAAATTCTTACCCTCCTCCCTGGCAAATCTTCTGTCTCACTGAGGCACATTCTGTCAGCTGAACAAACCTCTAACCCCACTTCTCTGGTGTCTCTTCCCATGAAGCTGTAGCCCAGTGGTCCGTCCTCAGCCCTGGCCTGACTCGGCAGCACGTGCTGCCGCTCACCGCTTCTCCTCGCTGCCCTTCCCGGGCACTCGTCTGGCTTCCTTCCCACCTTTCTGGCCGCCTACCTTCATCTCTTCTGCAGGTACCTCGTGTCTCGCAGCCTGACCGCCGTCAGACGGCCCAGGCCACCTTTTTGGTCTCTCTCCATCCCCACCTCTGCCTGCCCAGGGCGCCGTCTCGGTTCTCTCTTCATCTCCATCTCTGCTCATTCCCTAGGTGATCTCAGTCGGCCTGGTGGCTTCAGAACCCCATCTGCGGCTAGTGACGTCCAAGTTTCTGTCGCCAGCCCAGACCTCTTGGAATCCTGGGATCCCAGACCTGTTTGACACTCCCACTCAGTGCCTAACAGGCCACACCCAGCCTGAGCCCTGACTGAGCCCCTGCACCCCAAGACCAGCCCCTCTCACAGCCCACCCCAGCTCCAAGCTGCCACTAACCTGAGCCACAAGCCTGGTGGTCATTATTTTTCTCTCTTCCTTACACCTTGTATCCAATCTGCTGGGAAATCTGGCCAACTTTCCCTTAAAAAATGCTGTACCCCCAGAATCCACTTCTTGCCACCCTGGTCCCACCTGCCCTCTCCTCCCGATTAGACAGCTTTCTCAGCCGCCTCCTGGACCTCTCTGCTCCCATGCTGACCCCCTTATAGTCTGTGCTCAATGGAAATGAAGTTGGAGCGTGTCCCTCCTTCATTTGGGTCCTTCCATTGACTCCCGTCCCACTCAGACCAAAGCAACATCTTCACAATGGTTCAGCTAGGCCCTACGTGAACTCTGCCCCCTGTCCCCTAACTTACCACTCCACCTCCACCTTGTCCTACACCGCCCCAGGGCCTTTGCACTAGCTGCTCTCCCTGCCCGGACTGTTCTTCCCCCAGCTCCCTGCACAGCTGGCTCCCTCCTTCCCTTCCTTCAGGTGTGTACTCATCCATGTTACTAGAATTTCCCTACCTGTCTGTAATTTCCAACTTTACTCCCTCCAGCTCTCCTCTCTCTTCCTCCCGTCATCATATAACTTGCTATTTATTTTATTTATCTCGTTTACAGTCTGTCCTCAGTCTAGGCCTGCAAGCCCATGAGCACAGAGGTTTTGTCTGCTTATTCACCCCCAGGGTCTAGGATAGTGCTGGGTACAGAGTCAACCTTCAGTCATGGAGTCAGAGATGACGTTTCTCCAACCTCATTCTCATCCCACCGTTGCCACTTTGCCTTAGTCTCTTACCACTTACACTTATGTTGACTTGATGTTTCCTTTGAAGTTAACTGTGTGAATCATACATGTATCTACTTACAAGTGATACTTACCACCCCCTGTATTGTTACACCAGTGTCATTTGCATCGACAGGTCACAATGAAATTAAACCAGTGAAAACAAAGCAACAGTGAGTTCTAGCTATTGTGGCCACAGATTGATGAATGTGACCTGAAGGCCTACTTCTCAGTTAAAAAGGACATGACGGAAGACATTAGCACCAAATAGACATTCTTCGACATAATCAGATGTCTTTAAGAGTTGAAAAGGGAATGCCTTTCTCACTGTGCAATTCAGTTACTCATGGTGTGCCCAGGAACCCTCTGAAATCACCTGGAGTCTTGACTCCAGACTGAGAACCACTGCACGGGACAAGGGGAAAGCCCAAAGCCCTTTTGAAAGGGGGAAGAGAGCAGCTGATTCAGGGGACAGGGATTAGGGAAGGAGCCCCCTGACTATGCAAGGTGAGGGGTGGTGTGTCCCCACCGACAGACACCCCCTAGACCTCACTCTGCTGCTAAATGGACACTGCCTTTCCTCAGAGGCGGTCTACGTGGCGGGGAAGCAGTCAGCCTCTCCAGCTCTCTCATCTTTCTGTTGTCACTGCTCCCTTTCTTGGGACGCATGATTCTTGCTGCCCACATTCACCATCCCCTTGGATTCCACCCCAATCAGCCCTTCTGAGGCCGTCCAGGCTGGTATCAGACCACCCATTTTTTTACACTTAATATGAACATACATGTAAACGCAGGTAGAAGCCAGGTCCTACCTTTTCTGCCTTCTCTGAGTCTTGCAGATATATAAAAACACAAAATCAAGCCCTGGAGCTTCGAGTGAGGCTGGCAAGCCCAGCCAGCTCCTCAGCGAACAAGGAATTACAAAGCAAGTTTCACCAGCTAGATAAATCTCAACACAAGCTGTCCTTAAGAGCCCGACCAACGTGTCCATCACTTCGCACATTGCCAGGCATCTCCACGTGAGCTGCCAAAGGTGCCCACCTCCACTGTGGGCGTAAAAGGCCACGAAGATAGAGTATAAAGCGAGAGGCTGCTGCAGGCTCCTTGCCCGAATCTGTTTGGGTTCTGTTCCCACAAGTCTCTTTAGTACTAGCATACTCAGATTCCTTTACCTTCCTGACAGGTATGCAGAGTGAGAGGACACCATTTCCGTTCTTAAAAGCAGCTCTGAAGGATAGAAATTTGCTTTTTAATTGAAAGAGAGAGAGAGAGAAAAGAAAAGGCGTCCTTCTATGTGCCAGCCTCGTCAATAGCTCTTGGCTTCAGGTGCTCCGCCGAAAGATTGACTTAAAGTGCCTTTAATTATTTAATTGAAGCAAATGCCTCTAATGATTTAAAAACGCACTTGAGCAGGAAGATGGTAACCATGGGGGGCTCTCTCTCTCTGTTTCAGAGGTCCCCTCCCCCAGGAAACTCCGCAATGACTCACCAGGTATCATGCCTTCAGCTTCGCGGCTCATGTGTGTGGCTCTTGGTTTCCATCTCCTTTCTGCCAACGCACCCTCCCTGTCCGTCCTCACCCCGTTGTTTTACCCCTTGCAAATTACTGAGATTCCTACAAAATCTGAAGGCCTGGATATCTTAGTTCAAAACTGTCTCTCATCAAAACCAAGACTGACACAAGGGAACCTCATCTCTGGACCCATTTCCCCTTCCTTCCTTCCTCCTGCTTTGGCGTATGACGTGGCACTAATGTGTCCTGTCACCGCGTGCTCAGGGTTTAGAGGCTTTGTGTCACTTGGAGGGTTCTTACCTGCGTGCGAGGCCCCCCTTCCACTGTGAGGACACGCGGCGGTGCTGTCCCCCCTCGTCTGGCTCAGACACCGCACTGAGTGGGTGTGACAGCTCCACCATCTGGGTACCTTCCAGGAGGATGGCTTCCCTCTGGCTGGTCTGGTTCACAAGTCAGAATTAACACAGCACAGGGTCATGGTGACTGAGGCCCAGCAACATGCCCCCCGTGGTGTTTTCACACACATCTGCGAAGGAAACAAGCTCTCACCCCGATGTCTCACAACCACTGGGCTGCGCGAGGCTTAAGCGAGGCCTAGCTGCTAACTGCATCCTCGGTGCACGTGGGCCACGCCGGCCACCACGGCCAGTGCGGGCCGGGCAGAGCCTTTCCCGGAGGCCTCACAGGCATGTGTTCGTGGGCTGGGGATGGACACCCAAGACCCACGGAGCGCATGGGGGCCTTCACAAGACAGGGTGAAGAGGCCTCAGCTTCTCTGGGATTCTAACAACGTCTTCACACGTGAAGTTAGCCCGCTGGGGCCTGGCTTCCCTCTCATCCTCCTTTTGAGAGGCCCAGCAAGCCCTGTCTCGTGTCTGTCTTGTCTTGGAGAATCTCAGCTTTGCTGTCGTGACCCAAATACTTAAAGCTGGAGGTCTTGGCAGGGGCTTTAGGCAGGAGTGTTGTTCCTCTAAGACACAGCTTCTGAGCAGCTCTCCAGCCAGCTCGTTTGGATCACAGGATAAGCTGAACTCTAGGGCTGGCTGCAGTGTAGGGCCCACCAGTTGATGGAAACGGAGTCCTTGCAAAGCAGCAGGTGCTTATACTCTTGTGCTGATTCCTGGCATGTCAACAGTGGCTTAGATGAGTTTCTGCATCCATGAATGGAATCCAGATTCTCTAGGATCAGGCCTTGTGACAAATACAGCCAGTGTCAACCTTTCTCCAGGATCTGAAGCTAGTTCCTTCAAGAGTGTCCCCTGAACCTGAACAGGCTGACTTGCAAGACTGGTGCCTGAGCAGGGGGTTTACAGGGACCCTGGCACGATTTACTTCTTAGATCAAGGGAGCGCATTTATCAATTAAACCCTTCTAGTTAGAAAGTGCAGACTCTTCCAAGAGGCAAAAGGAGTGGCTGGAGCCTAGAAGCTTGGATGAGGCACTGTCTCCCAGCCCCAGGCCGTCCCATCCAGCTGTGAACCTGGAGGACAGAGGTGGCTGGGCAGCTGCTGCTCCTCTCTCTGCCCTGTATGCCCGACCCTCCTCGGTCCCAAGTTCTTGGAGAACATGGTGTTAAAGAAAGGTGAAGGCTTTTTAAGGTCACCTCCAGAGGGTGAGTGATAGAAAGTTAGTTCTAAAGTAGCTGGAGGTCAGGAAGCTTCCCTCTGACGGGAGTGAGGCTGACCCGAGTCTTTAGGTGGAAATGGCTACAACTTTAAGTATTTATTCCTGATCGCTGCCCCCCGGGAAGTACCATCCGCTGCACCCAGTGGGTTTTACCAGCCTGGGTTTCTCCCACCCCTAGACCCCACAGGCTCGTGTTGGGAAGCCCCTTCTCGGCGATCAGGAATCTCTGGGCCTTGCTCGTGTCTCTGGTCTTACCTGTCTGAGCTGTCCCTTTTGACTGAAGAATCAGTAGCTGGGATGGGCTCACCCTTGTGGCTTTTCTGTCCAGCCTTTGTGTGGCCAAGTGGGTCGTTTCTGTCGCAGAAAGTCTGCTTACTTCTTAGACCTCCTAAAACGGGGTTAAGACCTGTCCTCCGATGCAGGTCAAACAGGGCCAGATGGCCGGAGCCCAGCACGATTATCTGCTGTGGTCACTGAAAAGAAGGTGAACGTTGCTTCCAAACAGTTAAGTGCAGGCGGGTCTGACTTCCTCCTCCTGCCTGCCCCGCCCTCCTACACAAAGCCTCCCTTCGGGGGGGGACCAGGGCCTCCAGCAGGATAGCCAAGAGGAGATGGGGGAGCGGTAGGGACAGAGAGAAGGGGGTGTCCTACCAGCTAGAGCTAAAATACACCTTGGATTAACGTCTTATTTTTCTGGCAAATACTCAGTGAGCACCGATTCTGTGCTTTGCACGGTGCCTGCCATGGTGAGCCCAAAACAGATGAGATCCTCGCCCCGGGGGAACTCACTCCAAGAATTCTGCTCCACAAAAGCGGTGGGGGGCTCTGCGGAGCCATTACCCAGACAGCCCCCTTCTGGTCCCCTCAGCAGCCTCCTGCCTTCTCAGGGCCGCCCTTGATGGTCATTCTCAACTTCTGCAAACTGAACACCTGAAACCCTCCCCCTTTTCCTCCTGAAGCCAGAAAGGTGCAGACATAACACTTCCCCTCACGCCTGCCCCACAAGGGAGGAATGGACCCATGGAGACGTCTCCCCGACTTGCCCTTTCTTCCCTTCTTTTCTAAACACAAGTCCACAGCAGACCAGGAGCCAGTGACCAAGCCAGACATTTTTTTAAGCAGACGGCCCTGCTTTGAAAAACCTACTTTGCCCCTATTCCAGCTGATAAATGTACCCACACCTAAGACTGGTCAGGATTTGTTCACGTCCACCTGAATATTTGCGTCTCATTTGTTTTGAGTGTGTGTTTGTTTTTTGTTTTCGTTTTTGTTTTTTTGCCCCGTCCGAAAATCTCTTCCAACCTCGAGGGAGATTTCTGTCCTAAAGAAATGTGTTTTCTCAAAACCCACAGGCGGGGAAACGAGACCTCCTTCGTTCCCTCTAGAAGGTCTGGAGGACGCAGAGTTATTGAAAACGCGGATGGTTCCGAGGAGGAAATGGACGCTCGCGATGCAGATTTCAACGGAACCAAAGCCAGTGAATAAACAACTTGCTCAGAACAGGACAGAAGCAAACCCCAGTGGACTCCGCTTAGCACTGTCGACATCCGTTTTCAGACTCCAAACATCACAGCCACCCTTCACGATGAAATTAAAACACCACCCTGCCTTCAGGGCATCAATCTAAGTTGTGAATGACATGCCAAATGAGAAAAACCCAACAGGAGACACAGACACACCCACTCCCTCTGTCAAGAATGGTGCAGAGATTTTGAACTTTTAGAAAAATGTATCCACGGTAACCAGTCACTGGCAACTTAGTTTACATGAAACCAGGAGAAAGTCACCACAGTGGGTGCCCCATCCCCGGCCCTTCCTCCCGTGGGCCCGCCTCGTCCCATGGGCCCTGGTTTGAAACTTCCTCTTCCTCCCGGTTACCACCGTCAGACGCACGCTGCTCACCGAGACCAAGTGCCTTCCGTAGTCACGTGAATTAACAAGGAGACGCTGCTCGAACGGCTGAGAGCAGGAATGTCACACTGTTTTATATGCACCCCGATTGTACTTCAGGACACCCTCACTAATAAAAGGTTATAAATCACTAGAATGGAGTCGGCTTTTGTTTTCTACAGAGAAAAAGGAACGGGCGGGGGGGGGGCAGCCTTGAATCTCCACGACGACCCTAGGAAGTCAAGGTTATTACTTCACTGAATGGGGAAACTGAGGCCTAGGGAGGTGAAGTGAATCATCTGAGATCCCGCGACTGGCCGGGAGGAGAGAGAAGAGCACAGAGGGAGTGTGAGGGACTCCAAGCAGGTGGGCGGCTCCAGGACCCAAGTAGGGCCTCGACCAGGAAGAACATCTTTATCAATCAAAACAGTAGGTACTTAATGCAAAGAACATAAGATTTCCTTGTCTGAGTTAAAACACAACTTCCCTCACCCAGCAGGGGTCAAGAGACTTTCTATCTGAAGGCCCAGAAAATAAATATTTTAGGCTTCATTATAGTCTCTGTCACATTTTCATCTTTTTTTTTTTTTTAATTAAACCACTCTTGTAAAAACTGTCCTTGGTGTGGGGGCCATAAAATCCAGGCCTGGGCCCTTTCCTTCCTCAGCCTGAGTGTTCCAGACAGAGACCCCTGGCAAGGGTCCACTCAACACAGACAATTCCAGGCACGACACCATGGGACCAGCTTGGAGAAGAGGGAACATACGTAAACTGGGGACTTACCCAATGACCAAGCGCTAACACACCCTGAACAGCACACACGCGGGTCCCAGATGCAGTTCTAAGAGGCTGACTCGGAAATTTTTTAAAAGTTAGATTTTTTTTCCCATTATTTAGTCACTTGGTTAAACAAAAGTTCTTCACCACCAGAGGAGAAATACAGAAGCACAGAGGCAGCAGCATTTACTGACCACCAAAACCAGCTGAAAATCAGTTTCCCTTGATTTTTATTGCTCTTTTAAAAAAATAAAAGTACATCTTTTGCTGATACAGATTAGAATGTTGCTAGTGTGATGAAGTGGGTGCTCAAGTTTAATTCTCTGCCGAATTTCAGTAGCACTTGAGAAGTTCTGTTTTCAACTCAAGGATATTTTTGCTGTTCTTCTGGAAGAATAACTTAGTAATGGACAGCCGTTAAGCTGCACACTTGCGCCTGAATTTGTGTTTTTTGTTTACTTGCATCCATCCAAAGTGTGACACGGCCGTTCACAAGCAGGGCTGAATGAGCCGTCCACCGTCCGCGTGGAAATCCTGTGTTCGTTCTTCTTGAATAAGGAAGCGCCCAAGGACAATGCTTGTGGTTTGATGTTGCCTGAAGGTCACCCCAGTTATTGCATCATGGCTTTGAAAGAAGCCCTGTTCTTAGGGGCTGCCAGAGCCATTAGACCCCAGTGACCCTCAGGGTCCTGAAGCAGAAGTCACCCCCAGGCCAGGGTGAGGGGCTCAGAACAACTAACAGTCAGGCTTGGATTGGACTAAAAAGGACACAGATTTTCCATGGACCTGGTCCCCATAAAATTTACCCTGAAACTCTAAAAGCCTCAGTAAGAGGCAGATTAAAAAGTGTCGGAGGTACACCACACCACAGTTTCAATAAAAAGTACACGGCCTATTCTATTCTTTGCTCCTAGACGTGATTTCAGTGTGCTGGTCCCTGCTGTACCACAGGGCACTGGAGATTTTGTTCTGGAAGCAGCTCCAGCTGAGTGGGGGCCGGGGTGAGCCTGCGATGGGCTCAGACCCCACTTTTAAGGTGTCTTCAGGCATTAAAAACACCTCTCAAGACCCATCAGGGCTCAGGGTGGCTGAAAATGACAGGACAGCCTCAGCGCCCACATTGCCCCTTCCAGAGGGTCCGGTTGTCCCTGTCCACTGGCAACACCTCAGCAAGGAGAGAGTATTTCCCAGGGACAACCACCAGGGGCCACAGGCGATGACGACCTCAGTCATTGGTTAGTGTTGACTGATTGCTTGTATTTCTCAAACTACTTAAAAACAAAAACAGAAACCTAGTTTAAAGCAGGGAGGGAGGATAACGACTGGGCACGGACACCAGGGGCCTCGGCTTCCGTGGATTTCCTAAAGCAACATCTTGACTACACCCTGGGCTGACGGCAGCGATGGTGAGGACATATTTGAAGGCGGCTTCCCAAATTCCAGGCGTTTTCCCAACCTTCAGACAGAGCAAACCAAATTAAGCGGACATTACAGCTGTTACAGACTGGCTAGCACGGGGGCCCACGGGGTTACAAGAGTGAGTGTCAAGGTCAGGAGCAGTGTCTCACTGGGTCTCAATTTTCTCTCCTGTGAAATGAAGAAAAGGACACTGGCCATCTAGCGCTCACATCCCCAAGGCCACACAGAAAGCCCAGTCGCAGAAGACCCTCCGAAAAACATCCACGCCTACAGGCCCGGCAGTTACGTGCATGCAGGGGAAAACGACTCTCCGTTTCCTGTCCTCTGTCTGCCACTGACCCCCCAAATTTACGTGGCCTGGGTCCAGTGACATGGTGGCACATCTTAGAGCATTTCAGAAACTGGAAGCTGCCCTGATACTCTTCAGGCAAGAAAATAAATAAAGCTGTTAGTGGTCAGATTTGTGTTTTCCGATCAGGTGGCTGCCTTCAGGAATCTAGTCTGGCTGGAATTTAGTCTCCTGAATGTTTCAAAGGTTAAAAAATAAAAATAAAACCATCTTCTGGGGGAAGCAGAGCAGTGTCTGAAGCTTGAGTCCCAAACAAGTGATTTACACAAAGGACGTTCTCACAGCACAACCAGGAGGAGCTGGAGCTACAGAATCAAGTAATAAGAATGACCCTCTCCTTGGCTGTCTGCCCAAACCAGAAGACACCACCTCTGTCTCCACGGACGGGGAGGAGGATAAGGTTCACTGACACAGTCCTGCAACTTTCAAAAAAGGGCTGTCGGCTGGGGGTCAGAGGCTCCCGGCTGGAGTGTGGGGCTCTCCCAACACGGAGGAGGAGCAACAAAAGGCACTCACCCTTTGTCACCCAGAGGCACGCTGGTGCTGCCTGCCCGTCTGTCGCCACCGTCTCTGTTCTTGCTTCCCCGCCCTGAGGCCGGGCCACTTGGTCGGTTTGGGGACTGATCGTACACGAAGTTCCGACAGGAAGCAAGTTTGGACTCCAGAGCCTGGGGAGAAATATGCTTTCATTTCTCAAGTTAAAGACAAGAACTCTTACCTTCCCTGAAAGTTCACACAGAGGGAATAACTTAAGACAGTGGTTTTCAAACTGTGTTGTGTGGTTGAATTCCAAAATGTGCCCCTAAATCTAACTCATACAACCTAAGATATTTAGGCGCTCCCTGAGTAGTCACTAACCCTACTATGACCCAACTCTGACTACAAGAAATATGAAATCAACTCTTGGAATCATTCACTTTCTTGGTTGCCTTGTGAAACATGCCCCAGGTGGCAGCAGGTCTGAACAAAGCCCCTCTGCAAACCAAATGGGCACTGAGATCACCCGAGGCTCCTTTATATTCTACGTATTAAAACCTGTTTTAATACAAACAGCAAACAAGAAAACCAAAGCCCAAGGTAAAAACATAAGAAACGAGTTGTAAGCGTCTATTAATTCTGAATACATACATTCTGGGTCCTCCCAACGACAGACTGGCAGGATTTAAAAATTGTTAAAAATAAGCGAAATAACTACAGAGAATACCTGCGTTATTTCTTAAGCACAAAAGACTCCTTCCCTGTACTTAACAAAAACCCTGTGAGGTCACGTCCTGTGCCCTAGCCTTTCAAGATTTTTCTCTGTAACTCCCCAAGAAAATAGAAAAAGAGAAGGCAGTTTTCAAATGTTTTTCAGTTTTTTCAAATTAAGAAAAAAAAACACTGACACCACTTGAATTTACCAAAATGCCAGGATAAATGGTACAAGGAAAGAAAGATGTACCCGGGGACCAAAGGATGGCTCAGAATCAGAGCCCCGGGGGTTTGTCAGATAGAAGCATGGCGACTCTAAGGGACACGAAGAGCCAGGGCTATACCTACACCTCATGGAGCCTCTGCCAGAGGGGAAGGAACAGGTAAGGTCACCCCTCAAATATGCTGAAGACGGGAAGACGCCACACAGGACCCCGGGAAGGTGCCAACTTACCCCCACTTTGCGCAGCAGGTCTCCCACGATGTTGAGGGCCGATATCCGTGCTGCCGGTGTGAGGGGGGTCCCCCCGGTGGACTCATCCAGACCTGTGTGTGCAAAGGGAAACACATGTAACACCAACACACAAATTGTGCACTAACATCTCTGAGTGTGAAACCTGGGGGTGGGTGAGGAAGCCCCTCTCCCTTGATTCTGGATGCTGCCCTGTTTTATTCTAGTTTGCTGTCTTAACACAATGAGACTATGTTATGTTTCATTTTGGGTCTTTTTGCGGGGCTGGGGGGATGTAATTAGGTTTTTATTCATTTATCTTAATGGAGGTCCTGGGGATTGAACCCAGAACCTCATGCACGCTAAGCATGTGCTCTACCACTGAGCTATATCCTCCCCCACAGCAAGACTATCTGATGACCAACTTCTTGCAGCCTTATGATGACTAGACTAAATATTTATCTTGACATGTTATTCTTTTTAAACAAGATCAAAACAAGCCCTCTTAAAATTCTCGGAGTTCCACATAGTTCATTAACAGTAACAGCATCTGAACAAGCCACAAAGGTCAGGATTCTGCTCCTCGGAGCCTCCTCTCCCTCCAAAGCAGGGCTCCCGGACCAGCAGGCTCGGCACCCCTGGGGCACCTGTGAGACATGCAGGGTCTCAGGCTCCAACAGACCTGCTGAATCTGAGGGGCATTCTAACAAGACGCCCAGCTGAGTGGTGAGCTTATTAAAGTGTGGTCCAGCCTGGAATTCTGGAAGTGTCAGGGATAGGCAGCACGTGTACATGGCGGTGTGAGCCATGAAGCCAGCCTGCCATTTGCCAGCTCGGTGACTGGAGGCGGCGCTCTAACCCAAGGCCTCAGCCTCCGCACTGTCACACGGGAACAGAGCTTGCATTACCTGCTTCTTGGGCCAAGGTGAGAATTCAGGGAGGTCATATGTATACGCAGAGCACAGTAAGCAGTGATTGCACACCCTGAGCTCTCAACAATTGTCTACTATTATTACTATTATTTGCTATTAAGTGGCCCGATCAGTCTCAGAGTTAATCAGTCAGCAGAGGGGCGACTTAAATTTCTCGGTTTTAACCACACAGCACAGGCTGTACTGGCTGCGGTTCTAGATGACGTAATGCTGGACCCACAAAGAGCTTTTTAAATTTTTATTTGGTCACTGAAATCTTTAACTTGTGAGATTTCATATTTGACAAGAGGATTTCTGGCTTCTGGTGAAGAGTGAGATATCTGCTGCGGCTGGGCCCACCTTTCCTGCAGTCGGAGCAGAGTGCAGCTGACCCTCTAGATGAGGCTCCCATTTTCCAGTTTGCCACAGACTCCACTGTTCCCTACTGTCTTATGCCCAAGAGGCTCCTCTCACTTACCTCAATGGTCTGCCCCTCTGAGCACCCCAGCTTGCTCCCTGCTGTACAGCCTGGTCCAGTTTCTCCCTCACCCAGGACCAACCCTGGGCTCTCACCTAAGCTTCGTGAAGCCACAAAAACCCTCCCGAATCCCACCCCCTCTTACCACGTCGGAACGTCCCGGGCGTGTTCAAGCTACAGCCAGGTCCTCGATGAGTGATGGGAGTGGACGGCACGGAGCCAGTGGCCTGCACAGCTGTGTCTGTCCTTTCAGCTTCCACCGAGCTGGGCTTGGGGGTCCTGGGTTTCTCCTGCTTTTGCTGCACAGCCAATTCCTGCCGCAAATCTGCGCCAGGAAAAGGATTCAGATTAAGTCCATGCTTTGGGCGATGGGACGAGGGGAGGGCTGGCAGTAGATGTTGGTCAGCAAGAAGAACCACTAGAGTGAAAAGCTCTGGGTGGAAACCCTTGATGAAGCAAAACCCACAGGACCTTGCCCAGCAGGCCTGCAAAACTACATAGTTTTCCTTTTGAGTAAAAACAAAAAAGTTTTTTTTTTAATTATGGCAGTGATGCACTAATGCTTTTACTATTTCAAGAAAATTTCAGTGTACTAAGGCTTACAGAATACTATGTCAAAATATGCTTTCCCAACCATCCCCCAAATGTCCCTCCTCACCCACAATCATATAATACAGGGGAGATATTTTCAACCTTTTTTCTCTGCATTTTCACACATATAGTTCATATGTGATCTATTAAGCATATAACATGAATAATTTTTATTAAGCATAAATAGAAACATACATCTACTTTCTATGTATTTCCCCCTTCGATGGTATGTTCTAACAAGTTTTCTATGACATTTATGTCTACACCTTGTTTAACAACTTGTTGAACATTCCACAAAATAAGTCTATGTAATTTACCTAAGCAGTTCATTTCTGAAGGGCATTTAGGAACAACTACCTTTTAAACTTGAGAGTTTTTCTTTTTAATCCCCCTTCTACTGGCTACACATCAGAAATCAAATGAATGTCATCAATCATGAATTGGGACTTTGTCAGGACTGATGGACCCAACATGATTTGCTAAAATCTCAGTTATAAAGCTCCACCTCCGGAACTGCTGCCTCCAAAGAGCGGACACTGATGAGACTCCGGAGTTCTAAGCCACGTGTACCAGGTGTCACCAAGTCACAAATGTGATAGGCCGGCTAACTTCATCAACGGGAATTTTCTCCCCACAAAACTCCTGTGCTCCTGCTGAGCATAAAGCTGGCGCTGGGCTTAAGTATCCACGAAGGGTCTTTACAGGGCTGGACATCTGACAATTCTTAGCATAGAGTGGGGACCACGGCTCAGCCTGCTCACTGTGGTCCCCACCCTCGGACCAAACAGCCCATGTGCCAAGCAGGGCACGGATTTCCAGCAGAGACAATGCTGGCAATCCTGTGGGACAGGACATCCTCAGGTGGGGAGAGGGCACAATGCTGGTGACACACACACACAGAACAAAGCCAAGGCCTTCTGACCTCTGGCTTCATCCTTCAGCCGCTGAACAGATTCTAGGAGATTCTCCTTCTCGTCCAATTCACTCTCCAGGAAGGCATTTCTTTCAATGGCTTGATTCAAGCGCTGTTCAAAGTCCTCCAGAGACATGATCGTGGCCCTGGGTAAGAGACAAGCAAAGCTGTCCAAGAGAGCAAATGGCACGTCTGTCTGATATCTGGAGACCCGGGAGACGAGCAAGGTCACTCACACGGGGTGCGAGTCCCAGCACTGGCACTTCCTAATCCCACAGAGCCGAGCAAGCCCCTCAATCTGCCAGGACCGGGCTCTCCACCTGCACAACAGGAACCATCTCAGCGCATGAGGTGCACGAGGCCGTCCCAAGGGTTAAATGAGACCATGTCCATACGGCATTTAGCAACAAGTCAAGACCTAATTAGGACCATATACAAGCCCCAGTGAAATGCCAAGAGTGGCCTGTTCTATCTTGTCTCAGAGACTCACAATGCAATCAGTATTCAGAATACTCTATAATACACACATGCAATGTAATAACAGGAATTTAAACAGGCAGAAGAGGCCACCTTAGTCCCTCAGTTACCTTAACAAAGTTCAGAACACCTAGCCCCAGCCCACCTGCCCTGCTAACAACCACTTCTCTTGAACAATGTAGGCAGTCACTGGAATGCCATGTTAAAGTTGCTGAGAAGTCCTGCAATCAAACCTTTTCAACTCTGGACAAGCTACCTTCTCTGTGCCTCAGTTTCCTCATATGCAAAGCAGGGGAGTAACAGTCCCTCCGCACTGGGAGGGGTGGGGGGTGGCTGGGGGGGAGTGGAGTAACACGTGAAGCAAACAACAGATGTTTCAAACATTAAGTGCTCGATACATGTCAGCAATTTTTCTCACTGATCCTGTTTGTCTCCAGAAGACCTTTAACATCCTGCTAATTGTATCTCATGGTGATTAGAAGGATTTGTTTGGAGTGGAACCCATGAGGTAACACCTGGCTCTAACGTGTAAGACTAGCTAAGTGTCCTTGGGTGACTTAACCTCTCTGGGTCTCTGGGCCTCTGGGCCTCTGGGCCTCCAGCGGCAAAGTGAGGAACAATCATTCATTTATTCAGCACATCCTATGTTCAGATTGAGTCATCTTTGTTCTTACCTCAAAGGGTGTTTAGAGGTAAAGAAAATAAAGTGCCTGATTAAAAACAACAAAGGGATGGTATGATACTGGAGTCAGTTAAAATGACCCCAAGGCTGGCATGTCAAACAAAAATTACAAAAATAAAATACCTAGGAATTCATGTAACAACAAACATGTAAGAATGTACTGTAGGGCACAGAGACTAGTCAAAATGCAGGCATATGGTATTTATGAAGAGGAAGACCCCAAATCATAAATCAATTCTCCATTAGCTACCTAATACGTTTAACACCATCCTAATAAAAATATGAATAGGTTTTTATTGGGGGACACAGGCACAGGGGGATTTATCTGAAAGATGATGTGATAATGAAATAAGAATGGCCAGGAGAGGACTGTTAACCACAAAAAAGAATGAGATCTTGCCATCTGTGACAACATGGATGGACCTGCAGGGTACTAAACTTAGTGAAATAAGTCAGAGAAAGATAAACGCTGTATGATATCACTTACATGGGGAATCTAAAAAAACAAAATAAATGAACAAACATAACAAGAGAGAAACAGAGTTATAGATACAGAGAATAAACAGGTGGCTGCCACAGGGGAGGGGACTGGGGGAGGAGGGACTAGGTGAGAGATTAAGAAATACAAAGTTCCAGGAGCAAAATAAATGAGTCACAGGTATGAAGTACAGTGTGGGGAATATAGTCAATAACTACATAACATCTTTGCGTGGTGATCTTAAACAATTTATTGTGGTCATCAGTTTGAAACACATAGAAATAGCAAATCACTATGTTGTGTAACAGTAACTAACATAGTGTTGCAGGTCAATTATATTTCAGAAACAAACAAATTCATAGAAAAAGAGATCAGATTTGTGGTTACCAGAGGCAGGGGGTAGCGCAGCTGGGTGAAGGTGGTCAAAGGGTATAAACGTCTAGTTATAAGGTATTAAGGATGTAATGTACGATATGATAAATATATGAAAGTTGCTAAGAGAGTAAATCCTAAGAGTTCTTATCAGAAGGAAAGGATTTTTTTTCTATTTCTTAATATGTCTTTATGAGAGGACAGATGTTCACTAAACTAACTGTGATCCTTTCATGATGTGTGTACGTCAAATCATGCTGTACACCTTAAACGTATACAATGCTGTATGTCAATTCTATCTCAATAAAACTGGAAGAAAAAAGTGGCAAAGAGAACTCTGAAAAAGAAGAGATGGGGGATCTAGCTCTACCAGATACAAAGAACATTCTATCATAAACCACCAATAATGAGCAGTATGGCGCAGAGTGAAGCAGTTATAAGATCAGACAGAGCAAGGAGAACCGAAGTTTCCAGAAACAGATCCAAATACGCGTAAGAATTTAAGTTTTGATAAAGTTGGCATCACAAGTCACTGATGAAAAGATGGCTGGTTCTATTCTAGGTCTGGGGAATAGCAGGGAGCCACCTGGAAAAAAATTAATGTTGGATCCATACCCCAAGATGCATTCCAACTGGATCCAAAATTTACACTCAGCATTTGGCTACAATCTCCTACTGGCTTCTGGGAGCCAGAGGCATGGAACACCGACATTAGTGGCATTTCTGGCCTCCCCAAACCTGTGTGGATTCATGACCACTTGGGGGTATATAATCAGCGTCAGTAACACCAGCAGGGCACAGCACTTAGATTTTTGTTACTATGCGAATCTCTGCTTTCAAATAAAGGTAAGCATCCTGGTTGTCACTGAGTGAAAACAGCTTTGTGTGCTTTATATGTTGAAATTCTGTGAACTGATGTATAAAAGCATATTTATTATCAGAAGAGTAAAAAGCTGCAATACATAATGACTGAGGAAGCTGTTAATATCATGGGCAGTTATGAGAACTTGAAAATAGTTCAGCAGGAACATAGATTTTCAGTAAACATAAATATTAAGAGATGCATTTGTTAGATAACTAAGAGAATATCCTTTTTGAGCCAATAAATGCTTTAAAAGTCTGTGTCGGGGGGAGGGTACAGCTCAGTGATGGAGTGCGTGCTTAGCATGCACAAGGTCCTGGCTTCAATCCCCAGCACCTCAATTAAAATAAACAAACAAACAAACAAACCTAATTATCTCCCCATCCCCAAAGTAGATAAAAAAAAATAGTTGGACAAAAAATAAAAATAAAAGTCTATGTATCACCTCACACCCAGCAGAATGGCCTCCATCAAAAGAACAGAAAAGAACAAGTACTGGTGAGGATGTGGTGGGAATGTAAAATGGTGCGGTCATTATGGAAAACAGTATGGAGGTTCCACAAAAAATTAAAAATAGAGTTATCACATGACCCAGCAATCCCACTTCTGGGGACATACTCCAAAGAACTGAAAGCAGGATCTCAAAGAGATATTCGTATACTCTTTGTTCACTGCAGCATTACTCACGAGAGCCAAGAGGTGGAAGCAACCCAAGTGTCCATCGACAGATAGATGGTAAAGAAAATGTAGTACATACATGCAATGGAATGTTGCTCAACCTGAAAAAGGAAGGGAATCCTGTCACATGCTGCTACAACATGGACACATCTCAAGGACATCATGCTAAGAGAAGAAGCCAGCCACAAAAGGACAAACACTGCATGACTCTACGCATAGGGAGTACCTAAAGTAGTCAAAATCACAGAAACAGAAAGGGGAAAGATGATTACCAAGGGAGCAGGGAGGAGGAATTAGAGTTCAGTGGGTATAGAGTTTCAATGTTGCAAGATGAAAATTTTCCAGAGAGCTGTTACACAATAATTGAATGCATTTAACACTCCTGAACTGTACCCACATAAAATGGTTAAGGTAGCAAATTTGATGTTAAGTGTTTTTCCACCACAAAAAAATTTTTTTACAAAGTCTATGTAATAGCACATAGAAGAGTAAAATTAGAATGAATGTTAATCTTTGTAGAACTTTTTGGTATGCCAACACTTGTATATTAAACAAAATAACATTTAAGGAATGTATTTAATTTTTAGTTCATTCCCTTCCTCAGTTACAAGTGAGTCATTCAGTTTTACAGACTTACAGCAGAGGGGCCATAAGAAGCAAACAGTTGATGGTGCTGAGAAGTTATTGTTCTTAGTCCACAAACGATAAATGCTGGAGAGGGTGTGGAGAATAAAAAACCCTCCTACACTGTTGGTGGGAATGTAGTTTGGGGCAGCCGTTATGGAAAACAGTATGGAGATTCCTCAAAAAACTAAAAATAGAGTTACCATTTGATCCAGCAATGCTCCTGAGCATATATCTGGAGGGAACTTTAATTCAAAAAGACAGATGCACCCTGGTTCATAGCAGCACTAGATACAACAGCCAAGACATAGAAGCAACCTAAATGTCCATCACCAGATGACTGGATAAAGAGGTTGTAGCATGTATGTATATATGTGTATATATGTATATATGTGTGTGTATATATATATATATATATATACACACACAGACACATATACATACACACACAATGAAATACTACTCGACCACAAAAAAGAATAAAATAATGCCATTTGCAGCAACATGGATGGACCTGGAGATTGTCATTCTAAATGAAGTAAGCCAAAAAGAGAAAGAAAAATACCATATGATATCATTTATATGTGGAATCTAAAAAAAGGACAAATGAACTTATTTACAATACATAAATAGACTCACAGACATAGAAAAAGAACTTACAGTTACCAGCAGGGGTAAGGGGATGGGAAGGGATAAATTGGGAGTTTGAGATAACTACATATAAAGTAGATAAACAAGATTATACTGCATAGCTAAGGGAACTATATTCAATGTCTTGTAGTAACCTATAATGAGAAAGAATAGGAAAACGAATGTATGCATGTGTATGTATGACTAAACTATTATGCTATACACCAGAAATTGACACAACATTGCAAGCTGACTATACTCCAATTTAAAAAAAAATTATTGTTTGTGCAGCAGCCGGCTGTCAGATTTTCCAAGTATAACAATTAAAATTTTATAATAAAATTATAAAGTTGTTTTAAGGTTTTTTTAAAAAATAAAACTTCAGTATTCCAGAACTTTATTCATTTTATAATGATGATTTTGGTCTCAATGTCACCTGATTTTAACATTCAATTATTCAGTATTTGGCCAAATGTGAATCCAATGCATCTTTAGAAGAGAGAGAGAAATGGGTATGGGAGGTGGGGTGGGAGTGGGGGAGCACAGGGGAGGGGAGGGAGAGAAAAAGAGAGAAAGAAAGAAAACATTAAAAAAAACTAGACGAAAACATAGGCCAATTGTTTTATAATCCTTGGACGGCAGAGGGCCCTTCTAACTATGACTAATGAACTTGACTATATAGAAATCCACGTAACTTCAGACAGTAACATATACAACACCAAGCTGGAAGACATTTGACAAGCTCTAAATATTTTCAATTCAGATTATAGCCAAATACATAAACACCTCCTAGAAATGGATGAGGGGAAAAAACAACCAGCAACCAATTTAAAAATAAGCAAAGACAGAGTTCACAGAAAAAGAAAGAAAACAGATATTAAATATATGAAAAGGAACTCAAGGTCACTCATAATTCAAAAGGTCACTCATAATTCTGTCTCCTGTGAGATTGGCAGAAATCCGAAGTTTGAAAAATGCTGTTGGTGAAGCTATTTGGAAAATGGGGACTTATTCACATACCTGTTGGGAATGGAAATTGGTACAAATACAGAGAACAACTGGGCAAAAACTATCAAAATCACATATGCACATATATCCTCTGACCAAGCAATTCCACTTCTGGGAATTTAGTGCACAGATCTACATCTGTGCAAGCAACGCCCATCATTCATCACAGCTGTGCTTACCACTGCAAAGGAATGGAAACGCAGGAAATATTTACCCACGGGGGGATGGATAAATAAATGATTCTGCATCACACAATACCAACCATACAATGAATATTATGTACTTGGGGGAAAAAAACCCAACAAAGAATGCTCTGTATCCTACTACAGCAAGACCTCCAAGATCTATTATGTGACAAAGTAAGATGTACAATACTGTGTACAGAATGCTCTTTTGTGGGGTGGAGGGGGAGGAATAATACAAATTTCTATTTGTTTGAATTTGCATTTAAAAAAAACCCTCTACCCCTTTGTATATTATTTTTGAACAATGTGAATGTAATACTTCTTTGTGATAAATTGCATTATTGGTCCCAATTCATCATTCTTCCTGTATCCACTCCCTTGCTGTGGCCTCACTGTGGGTAGAACGTACTTTCCCACCCCTTGGCAGAGCTTGGCCATGCTTTGATCAGTGATATGTGGGTAGAAATCATTGTATGCCAGTGGCTTGCCAGAAATCAGAACATGCTACCAAGCCACAGTAACCAAGTCATTAAGGCACTGGTGTAGTAATTCACAAATCACACACAGGACCAAAAGAGAGAATTCCAAATTAGATCCCAAAATATACAGTCAGCCCTCCCCATCTGTGGGTTGCACATCCTTGGATTCAACCAACTGCAACTAAAAAATACTCAGAAAAAAAAAATCCAGAAGGTTCCAAAAAGCAAAACTCAAATTTGCCACTCACTGGCAACTATTTATATAACATTTAGATTGTATTAGGTACTATAATTAACCTAGACATGATTTAAAGTATATGGGAGGAGGCACATAGGTTATATGCAAATACTACACCACTTCATATAAGGGATTTAAGAATCCACAAATTTTGGCATCCATAGGCATCCTGGAGCCAATCTCCCATGGATACCAAGGGATGACTTTTGAGAGGTTAACATATGACAGAAATGAGTTCAATTCAGTGGAAAAAAGATGAAGTGTCTAATACACATTACTGGCACAACTGTCTATCTAATGAAAATAAAATGAGACACATATCTTATACTAGATACAAAAATAAATTTCAGGTGGATTAAAGGTATGAATTAAAACAAGTAATAAAAAAAATCTTGCAAAAACAGAATAAGAGCATACATGCAAAATCAAAGGATCAAAGAGATTTCCCTAGTGAAGTCTGGAAAACTGGAAGTTACAAAAGGAGACGTAATTGATGAGCTAAAAATGAAAAATATTTGTATGGGAAATGATATCACAAAGTCAACTGAATTCTGTAAAAAATATTTTCAATGCAGGACAAAAGATTCGTAGCCAAAATACACAAAGAACTCTTTACAAACCAGTAAGAAAGGACAGTCCACTTCTGGTAATGACAAGGTAGCTTGTATAAGACCAAACATCCTATAGATACAAAGTCTGGGTAAAATGAGAAGAACAATGATCTGAAGGTACTGTCAAAAACTGGGAGGGAGCCAACACTGGGAAGAAGAGAACAGCAGTGGGTGAATTTTGCATCTTTATAAACAGCTTTGTGCTGACGGCTCCAGTGATAGAAGTCCATCACCACGGGGGAGTCCCAAATTCTGCATATGTCAACTTTTCCCACATCTCTGGCTGACCCCTGACAGGGCATGTGCATGGCAGACTTCAAGCATCCTAGATAACAGAATCAAAGGGATTTTGGCTACTGCCCATCAAGGGGAGACAGAGTTTGGAGTGTGAGTTCAGCCTACTTAACAAGCAAACAAAATTAAAAATAAAAACATTACAGAATCCATAGTTTCTGCAACACACCATCGTAATTCCCAGAATATAATCCAAAATTACTAGATGTGTGAAGAGCAAGGAAAATGTGACCCAAACTCAAGAGAAATGTTAGAATTAGCAGAAAAGGATCTTAAAGAAGCTACTGTAACTATGCTCAAGGATGTAAAGAACGAAATCTCTGTAGAGGAATAGAAATTATTAGAAAAAACATAATATCTAAAATAAAACATTACTGGAACTGGCTTAACAGCAGGTTGGAGGAAAGGATTTAGTGAACTTGAAACTAGATCAACACAAATGATCTAATTTGAGGAACCAAGAGAAAAAGGATTTAGCAAAAACATGAACAGAGCTTCAGTGACCTGTGTGATGGTATCAAAAGGACCAACAGGTGTGTAGCTGGTGTCCCGGAAAGACAGGAGAGAAAGAACAGGGCAGCAAAAATCTTTGAGGAAACAATGACCAAAATTAAATTTGGCAAGACAACTCTACAGATCAAAGAAGCCCAGTAAACCCTATCAGGGTAAGTACACAGAATCTAGGCAGACCACCGTCAAGCTGCAAAAAACCAAAAATAAAGAGAAATTCTGAGAGCAGCCAGAGGAAAACACCCTGTTACTGACAGGGGAGGGACTATTCCAATGACCACTAACTTCTGACCCCCAGTGAGGAGACCAGGAGACAGCGGGACATCTTTAATGTGCTGAAAGAAAACAGACACCCGTCAACCCGGAACTCCACACCCAGTGGAAATATCCTGCAAGAATGAAGACAAAAGAAAGACAGTTTCAGAAAAGCTAAAGCAAAGAGAATTCACCAGCAGACTTGCACCCCAAGAAATCCTACAGGAAGTTCTCCAAACTGAAAGGAAACGATACCAGAGGGAAACTTCAGCAAGACATGAACCAGAAACCGTCAATATGTGGGTAAATATAAAAGGCTATCTTTTAAAGTTATTTTTTTTGGGGGGGAGGGAGGTAAGTAGATTTGTTTGTTTGTTATTTTAATGAAGGTACTGGGGATTGAACCCAGGACCTCATGCATGCTAAGCATACACTCTACCACTGAGCTATACCCTCCCCTCAAAAGGCTATCTTTTTACCCTCTTACTTTCTTTAAAATTCACTTGGCTTTTTAAAGTAAAAGTTGTAACAATGCACTGTGGGATCCATATAATTGGTAGATGTAATAGCATTACAACTGTAGTATAAAGTTCAAGGATGTGTAAATGACTCTATAAGGTTGCAAGGCTGTTGCATTTGGTACAATATTAACAAAGTAGACTGATAAAGTGAGCGTGTTTGTTGTGATCCCTAAAGCAACCACCACAACGCACTGCAAGGAGCTGTGGCTGCAATGCCAAGGGTCCGTGTCGTAACAGGAGAGGGGGCAGAGGGGGTGGGGTACATGAACACACGCATTTGTACAAACTGATGGAGCTGCGCATTTAAGATCTGTGCATGGTGCTGTATGTCATTTGTATCTGAATTTTTAAAAGGTGTCCTTTCAAAAAAAAACCCCGAAACTGGCTTAGAGTAGTTATTCAATAAATGTTAGTAATTATTGTTAGTGATCTGCTAAACTACAGAATGTCAGTTTAAGAAACACCGTCCTTCTTACCTTAGGGCCTATTTAGCACATACTGCCCTTCTGCCTGGGATGATCCCACCTCACTTTCTTCCCCTGGATAACGCCCAGGCACCCCTCGGCCTTGGCCTAAATGGCATTTCCTCTGGGAAGCCTTGCCTGACATTTTCCCACCAATGGCCAAATGAACCCATCCGATCTCACGCCCCCGCCGCGCCCTGGATTTGCAGCACTTTCTGCCTACTGTCCACCTCCATGAGGCTGCAGGACCGACAAGGGCACAAAAAGGCTCCGAAGCCCCGTTTCCCCTTCCCAACGCACCGTTTGGCTCTTTCCAAGTCGTCATTGGCCTGCTCCAGCTCTCTGATGTATTTCTGCAGTTGATCTTTAATGGCTTTTGTCTGGGCAAGGTCATCCTCTAAGGCTGAGATCTGCCGGTAGCCCTCAGAATGCTGCGTTTCAAACTTCTCCTGAAGGACAGAATCAACACTCAGTGACTGACTTAAGACTTCCAATGGGCCTGTTTATGTCCCTTCCCTGGCACCTCCTTAAAACACTGACGGTCCATCCTGGGAGGCAGCGCTCCTGTTGTAGTGGACGTGTCTTTCTTAACCACTGAGTGTCTGCTCCTCCCCCTCTGCACAGCCCACCAGTACCCCTGTTTCTTTAGGGGACTTCTCTCTCCCTTATTCTAGGGTCTTATATGACCAGCCTTCCCATCACACTCACTCAGGAGACCCCGGGCTTCCTCTCACAGCCTCTGCCACTGCAGGGAGACTGACTAAGCTCAGTCAGTAGAACCTTCTGTCCACAGACATGGGCTCTCAAGCAAGTGAGGGGAGATGGCAGGAACAGGGGCCATCATTCAAGCTGTCAAGTCCCGAATGCTTCCTGCCTCCTGGCCCCCAGAATGTCTTGTACCCTGTTCCCTCTCCCACACTGGTCCCTGCAGCCTCTGGTGTCGAGAAGCCCCCAACAATCTTCAGAGCAATCATTTTGTGCAAGTGCCCATAGCCACAAAAAAAGCCACGTAAACCTCCCTGAGCCTCACACACAAGGGCGATTCCTGCAACATCCCTGGATTACAGAGAGACTGTCGGGAATCCCAGCGATTTTGGTTGCTTGTGTCTCATAGTAAAGAGCAGGACAGCATGGACTTAGTTTGACAACTGTTTTGACTTTGTGATCCAGGACACTCCTTGCAGCACAGGGGAATTAGAAGGAACTTCTGGACCTCTGGGGAAGGGAAGGAAGAGAAGGAAGGAAGGGAAAAAGGAAAAAAAAAAACCCTAACTTACTAATTACCAAAAGAAGCTTACTGTCATCTGGCCAGTGCTTTCCAAGGCAAGGAAGAGCCCAGACGATTTCTCAACAATCTGCTGTTGCCCAACCATAGGAGCTAACACTCCTCGTGCTTACTCTGCCTCGGGGCTCAGGGCACGACTCATGTTGCCTCATTTAATGCCACTTCAGAGCCGTGGGAACTGAGCTGTCACTTCTTTAGCCCACAGTCAACTGGAAGCAAATGACTGAGCCAAGATCCAACCCGCTCACCTGGGCTCGTGCTCTCAGAACCGCAGTGCCAAACTGCCCCCAACAGCCCCCTGATCACACTCGCAAAGACACACTGACTCACACGCACTCACGCTCACTCCTGTTCTGGCTCCTCTTTCAAATTACTTTTTCTCACCGAACACCCTTAGCACCTTCCCTTCATCTATAAACATGAAAGAAAATACTTCCCACACTCACTTGGGAAAGGCCCAAGTCTAATTAGAAAGTTAAGAGATGGGCCAACTTGTCATCTTCTTCTTCTTCTTTTTTTGTTTTTAAAGGGCATGATAGTTTATTTAAAAAAAACTGTAACACTGATCATCATGACCAGCATACACATTATGATGGCTCTTCTCTGGGATACTGACATGGCAGCACGTTTGTACCCTGAAATGTTTCAGCAGCACCCACTCCTCTTCTTTACTCCGCTGAGTAAACAAAGCTGTTGCTAGAAACAGTCTGCAAGCACAGGGGAGTGATGTAATGGTGCCCGGGCCAGAGAGGCGTGGCAAGAGCCACTGAGAGGAGAAGGTCCGCAGAAGGAGCAGATTATTTACAGGGAGAGGACAGGGAGGGGCGTCACATCCTCACACTGCTCAGCCCCCTCTGGGCTCCGTTTCCTGGCTGTGAGCACAGGAAGCGTCTCCAGACAAGCAGGGGCAGACCCGGCCCAGGCACACGCGAATTCCCAGGCACGGCGCTGATCACCTCGCACCCTTTACTTGGGTGCTTCCCTAAATAATACAGGAGGGGACGGGAGCCTAAATTCAAACACAGGTTCCGAGATGACACAGTTAACTTGAGGGCTTGTTCACCAGTGTAAAGATTCAAATGATGTCCTTTGAACTTGGGGACATGAAAAGCTGCTACGCTTTCATTCGGAGCTAATTATAATAAGCTGTCAGCTGATGGAGGCATCAATAGATGCTCTGTTTGATCCCTTACAAGCTTTTTTTTTTAATTCATCTTGCGATGAATAAGCCAGTTGTCAAGAAGTCCAACTCAGCTGAAGACATTTCTCTTAGGGGACTGAGAAATACGTGCTGGTGGCAGTTCTTTATTCCAAGATAGTTCTATTTCCTCCCCTTCTCTACACCCACATCTCAGGCATCTAGCATGTGGTTGCAATGAAGAGGTCTTCTGCTGGTTCAAGGGCTCAGTTTTGAAGCGGTTAATTACTTAGCACCTGCTTGGTATTTATTCAACATTTGTGGAGGTCCTCCTGCCCTCTGCAGACTGTGGCTCAGACCACTAGTCTTGCTTCCACACAGCTTCCCCTGCCCAAGTCCCCTTCAGTGTAAGAGCTATGATGATTCCCCAGTGCCCAAGGCAGGGGTCAGGCTGTTAACAAAATGAGTGAAGTGGGCCAGGTGTTAAGGAGCAAATGACACTCAGCCCCTAGGATCACAGACGGGGAGGGAAGGACAGTAGTGGGGACCAGGGCAAAGTGCAGAAGGCTTGTTCTGTCGAAGCAACCACAACCTGGCTTTTTGCTGGTGTGCAGAAGGCAGGCCTGGTGTGGCCAGACCCACCAAAGGAAGATCAAAGGCAAAGGGAGAGCAAAGGAAGTCGGAAATCCGGGTTTTTAAAGGAAGCCTCACAACTTTGAATGCCGATATCAAGTATCTTTTAAAAACACTAAAGATATAAATTTTACTATTGAAAAATAAACTGTAGTCAAACCCCCACCTCTAGTTAATAGCCTGCTGCGTATTTACAGGGAAGGGTACAGATGTCTCCGATTCACTCTGAAACGCACTGGAAAGTAAGACAGACTTATGGATGGATAGATATGTAATAAAGGGCAAGAATGGCAAAGATGATTGGTAAAGCCTAGGTAGTGGATACACAGATGTTTCCTGGAAAACCACTAAAGGCTTAAAACAAACAACATCTACATGCCAGACTGACCTGTGGATGGCCAGTCTGGGCTCTGTGGTCTACAACACAAAAACCTGAAGTCCACAGTTCAGCTTCCAGGGTCTGTGGGGTTCTTCCTCTGCTACTCCCATCTCTTAGTCCCAATCCGTTTGTTGATCCCACTTTTCCTTGGGTGCCAGTAAAGCCAGATTCCCCAGGTCCACTGGACACTCATTCTTGCTCCTGCCTATGGCAGGTCCAGATTAACTCACCATCAAACCCCTGTGCACCAAACTGCTGGCTAGACAGACAGAAAGACACACACACCCACCACTTCAAACACCAGCTCAAGCCCCCCAGCTCCTCCACAACCCTGTGTCCAACCCGTGCACATCACTCCCAGAATGATCTCACGGTCAGTAAGATGTGACCAAGCACCCTTTCCCTAAGTGCTTCAGCTGTTAGGTTTGTCTTCCTCATGAAGCTTCCAGAGGCCAAAGGGAACATCTCCTCCCGCTGTCTAGCACACCTACCCCTGGGCTCACACTGCAAGGCCTTGGCTCTTTTCAGCAGCTCATCCAAATTTATATGAGGAGCTTTGTTTAAAAAAACAAAAAAGACATGCAAACATGCCAGGGCGCCACCCAGACTTACTGAGACTCTCAGGGCGGGGCGGGTCCGGGCCTGGCGACGCAGGCTGAGCCTTAGGCTCTAAGGGCCCAGCGTTACACTTAATGATCACCTGCTAAGCCCAGCAGTGTCCGAAAGGCAGCCTTCGCCCCGCACAGCAGTGGTTCTCCAGACACTTGACAATGTTTGCAGATATTTTCAGTTGTCACAACCTGGGGGAGAGGGTGCTACTGGCATCTAGTGGGTGGAGACGAGGGACGCTGTTAAAAACCCTACAATTTTCCAGAGAATTATGTGGCTTCTAACGTCAACAGTGCCCAGGCGGAGGAAGCAGTACCGTCCAGCAGAACTTTCTACAACGATGGAAACGTTCTACAGCCTCTCTGTCCCACACGGATACCCGCCAGAGACACGCGGCTACTGAGCACTCGAAATGTGGCTAGTACAATCGAGGAACTGAATTTTGATTTATTTTAATTAAATGTCAGTAACCACACGCAACAAGGGGCTACCATGCTGGACAGCATAACCCTGGGCCTCATAAAATAACGATCAGCAATTCTCCACAGTGACATTCCACACTCTAGAAAGGTCTACCCTCCACGTGCCTCGTGGGAGCATCATAACAGCCAAGAATGGCCATGGGACACACATGAGACTAGGCTCTCACAGAGGCCTCCTTCGGGGCATAAAGTGTTCAAGCACCACACGCACTGGCCGGCCAGGGACCACGTCTGTGGGGCTCCCTTTTCCAGTCACATGCTGGAAGCCCCCAACACCTGCATGCGCCTCCTCTTGACCCCTCACCTTGATGGTTTCCAGCTCCATGCGAAGGCGGTTATTCTCGGACAGGAGGTCCCTGTTTCTGGTTTCGATCTGCTGCAGCTGCGTCTCCAATTCAGCTTCATACTCTCGGCTGCCCTCCTGGAATTCTCGGAGCTCCTCCTGCGTGTTCTCTGCCCTACAGAATCCCCAGATGTCAGCTGACGACGTGCGGAGCGCTCACACGCTGCTGAGTGTTACATGTGGATCAGCTCTTTATTCAACTCCCTTTTGAGGTCGAAACTATCACTGTCCTCATTACACAGATGAGAAGATGAGGTGTAGACAAGTGACTTGTCTCAAGGTCAAAGAAGAAACAGAGCTTGGACCCGCACCCAGACGTACCAGGCTCCACAGCCCTCTCTTAACCAATTCACTCTTCACTTATTCCTTCCACCTGTATTTTTGGAGCCCAACGTGTAATAAATACACTTTGGATTATGTATTCTCTGTGGATTTATTTGTAAGGAGAAATTGGACATGATACAAATGTTCACTTATCACACTACTATAATGTGTCCCTGCCCCACAGCCTAAATACCCAGTTCTAGTTTCTCAACCCTTAAAACTCAAAGGATATATATATTTTTTAAACACCAAGCCTGAATTATCCTTAAATCAAACTAAGTACAAAGAAATTAGAGGAACAGGACTAAGACCTCCATGCGGAGATTCTAAGAATCCATGAGAAATAAAAAGAAACAATGTTAAGCACACACACACAGCTGCCAGATATGGGCGCTGCAACACTGGGCTCGAATTGAAAAATCTGTAACAACTCATTTTGCTAGGCCTAGGAGGACGTTCTTTCTCCACACACGAAGGGCGGACCGGATACAGCATCCGGGAGCTGATAAAACTCCGCCAGAAAATACGACGGGAAGTAGCAGAGCAGTTTGCTCAGGACCCTAAGCTTTGGGGTTCAGACTCCAGTTCTGCTGCATGCCCTTGGGCAAGTTACTTGCTTTCACTAAGGCTCAGTTTCCTCATGTGTAAAGTGGGGTGAGAATGGTTTCTTCACAGGGTAATGTTGAGATTTAACTGAGATAATGTAGACTAAGCCCTCACAGTGCTTGTCACGTAGTAGGCCTACAACGAATGGCTGCTGCAGTCATGGTGGGAAGAAAGCGCAGGGGGAACTTTGGAGAACTGACCTCTGCTTGTAGGTCATAGCCAGATCTTTCCAGTAGTTAGCTTCTTCCTCCTCAGAGCTGAAGGTCTTTCCCGAGTCCTCCATTGTGGAAGCAAGGGAAGAGATTACTCCTCTTGTGACATGATGTCTAGGAGAGAAAGGTTTAAAATTACTACCCACATCTGGTTAAATAGCTGATCTTTAATGAGGGGGAAAAAAAATTCTGAACTTCACGCTGAATTAAATTTGGCAAAAAACATTGCCAAAAAACTAAAACTAAACGCAGACCAAATAGAGTCCACCCGCACTTTACATTCCATGGCTGGAGAAATCTACTGGGATTTGCTGATTTAATACATTTGGAGGGAGAGTAGGGGAGGGCAGCTCAGGGGGTCTAACTTAGGCAGCCAGGTGTCACCACCATCCCCATCACCAGCGATGGAGACTATCAGAAGGAAAGCCTTTAGGGCGAGGGGATAATGAACCCAGTTTCGGACACTTGTAGTTGGACGTGCCTGTGATACACGGAGATGCAACACTGGATCTGAACCTTGGGGGTGAAGTCTGGGTTAGCGATGCAAATTTAAGAGTCATGAGTTTGTAACTGGTTCTTCCCTTTTTCTTGTGCCAGAACGACGGGAGAATCTAATGAGGCCTATTTATGGAACTCTGAGGGGTGCCAGTGTTTGAAAGGTGGGCAAAGAAAGACACAGGACTGGAAGGAGACAGCGGAGAAACCGAGTGAGAGAGAAGTGAACCAGAAGAGAGAGCTGTCCTGGGAGCAGGTGGTTTCCAAGGAAAGAAGGGAGTGTCCACAGTATCTGAGATGCAACAGAGAAGCTGGTAAGACAGGACTGGAAAATACCCACGAGACTGAGTGAAATGTCAGCCATGGATGATGTGAGCAAGAGTGGTTTCAACACAGTGGAGCAGGGAGGAGGGATAAACTGGGTGGAGGACTAACTGGGAGGTGAGGAAGAGGAAGCAGATGGGATTTTGGAGAATTGGGTACGAGAACAAGAGGACACAAATTAAACAGTCGCCAGAAGGAGTGGTGATAAGGGCCTTGGCTCTAAGGACTGAGCTATCCAGAGCAGACGTTAGGGAACGAATTTCTATTAACAGTTATCAGTCTATGGACTCCCTGCTGATAGCACCTCTCAATGTAATAGCTTATTTTCTCAATTTATTTAAGACTCTGAGCTTGTCCAAAGATCATTAGGAATCCAAATGAGCTCTCTCCAAAGTCCCTTCTTTCCCTCAAGTGAGCTCACTGTTCTGTCTTTGGGGACAACTCCTCACTCTGTAAGACATGACTAACAAGCTGTATTTTCAGCTAAAAATACAAATCATTCTGCTATGTATGTCAACGTTGGCACGGACACATCACCAACTTCTGGATTCCCGGTAGAAAGTGAACAATGATGCCTATATCTGAGCACAGCACTTGCTGATAACTCTCATTTTGTTAGGACTTGTGGTCACATCTTCTTTCCCTTCCCTAATTCAGAGAAAACATGCCATGCCTCCACCTACCCTTTTCTGGGGAACAGAGTTTCTCTGAAAGCTTGATTGAAGCAGAGAAGCTAGACAGAGTAGAAATCTGTTAATTTGATTTTTTCCACCCAATCCAGCATTCCTTCGTCCATCTTTCTCTAATGGTGCCCCAATATCCCCTTGAGGAAACCAACCCTACATTCATGCCATGGGGCTCAGATGGACCCAACATCACCTTTTACATCTGGGAGAAGGCACATGACTACTAACCAATACCTCCAGCATCAGTAACTGGCTCAGTGGTGGGCCTAATCCAAGCTAAACCAATGACTGGCTTAGGGGTGGACCTAACCCAAGCTGAGCTGACAAGCGTCAGGCCCAGGCCTTTTGCAGAGCTATCAAGAAAGAAAACCCTCTGGAGGTGTTAACTAACCTTATTGTAGTAATTATTTCACAATAAATACATGGACCAAACTATCATGTGGTACACCTTAAACTTAGACAATGTTATATGTCAGTTATATCTTCATAAAGCTGGGGGGGGGGAGAAATTCTCTTTCCATGAGGGTCCATCCATTCCTGGTGGTCATCTTGCTATCATAAGGGAGAAGCCTGCCAGGGAATGAAGCCAAAGGAAAGCAGAGCCAAGAAGTGGAGAGACTGGGTCCTGACGGTATCGTTTGGACACCTGTATCTAGTCATACCTGATTTAAGTTATGAAAGATAATCAACTCCCTTTCTTGGTTGTACCAGTTAGGGTTGGATTTCTGCCACAAGAGAGGCCTGATTAATATTTACAGTGAAGGATCTTGTTTGCTGAAAGTAAAAAGGACAGAGTACCTAGAGTGTAAATAACAGTAATTACCACGGTGATGGGTGAGGGTAATCCCTGCTCAAGCCATAGGCTGTAATGAGCCCAGATCTCATCTAGTATGTAGTCACCAAACCAACGTTCATAGTGTCAAGAGCCCCGAGCCCATGCAACTGTAATTAAGTGCTGTGTGGCCATTAGTGATAGTACTGAGGACCGTCTCAATGGCACAGCATGGGAGGAAGTCTACGTACAAGAGGGCGAGAAAGTGAGGAACTAGGAACCACAAATGTATGCTGACTTTGCTGCTGTTTGGAAAAAGATCATGGAAAAACGTCATATCCAAGTTCAACATAAATTAGTCCTTGCCTACCTCTCTAAACATTTCTTACACCCCTACCTCTCCCTCTTTTATACTGTAGCCACACTGCCTTCTTTTGGTTCCTTGAGCACATCAAGCTTGCTTCTGCCTCAGGGCCTCTGCACTGGCTGTTCTCGATGCCTGGAATGCTCTTCCCTCAGCTCTCTGCCCGGATTTCCTTCCTGTCATTCATATCTCAGCTGAAATGCCTTTCCCAGAGAGACCTTATCTGAATATCTCACCAAATACCTCCTCCAGACCTTCACTATCCTATTAACACCTACTTTATCACTTTCTGAGTTTTGTTTTTATCTCCCCCCCCCCCCCGCCAGAACATCAGCTGTTGAGTACAGGGACCTTCACCATCTTGCTTTTTTTATCCCCAAAGCCTTGAGCAGTGCCTGGCATACAAGAGGCATTCAATAAATACTCATGGAATAAAGGCATACAGGGGAAGATAGAGATTGACGGGGATATGAGGTTAAGAAAAAGCAAGTAGCAAGAGACCCTCTGAAGGCTAGTTTATAGTTTATATCTGTAAATCCCTAAGACACTTAACAGGATGGGGAAAACCTTTCATTCCCTCAGCACCTGAGTGGCATCTCATTAATGGGAAGGGGCTGGAGGATAGCGTGCCACGTTGGAAACGGCCCCCTCCCCCAGTTTACATCATAAGGAGTATGATACAGTTACTGGAGCTTAATAGCCTTCATCCTGCAGTCTTATGACATATTTAGACAATTTTAGAAAACGGCTCCTTAAAACACTGTTATCATGGCCAGTGAGGTTTAAACTTAAGCTTCAGGAAAGGAATGAATTTGAGATGTTTTAGGAGGCACTTCCACTGGGGAAGAGGCTCTAATTACAACCCCTGCATTTTTAAAAACATCCTTAGGGAAGAGGAAAACTATGCTTCGGGCTAAGAGGAGAGAAGTAACATCTGAACTTCACTTTATGAAACAGCAATCTTAAAAATCTAAGACCTTTTTTTTTTTGCCATTTGAAAATGTCTCAGGAAGTTCTAATGTATATTATTCTCCACCACAGATAGCAAGTAGGATGACTTGCAAAGGTCCCCCTCTTATCATCACCTATTTGCAGTGTGCTAGGCATTTAACACATTATTTCCAAACAACTTGATCCTCTTATGCTGTTCAGGTGTAAGAGGCTGGTAGGCAAGACAATCATGCGGTTTCTTAGGAGCGGAAGCTGGAGCAGAAACACTGTATGCATGGGCCATCTCCATAGGTGCAAGGGAGTGACAGTGGCAAATTAGAACCCAGTGCAAGGGAGTCTCTGAATTCAAATTCAAAGTCTGCCTGGGGTTACAAAAAGGCTGACTGGAAGGCAGATTCACTCTTTAGTCCACGAAGTCTTTCAAAAAGCACTGTGGCAGGCAGATGTCAACGCTCGGTGACAGTATACACACCTTTATACCCATTATCTTAAAAATGGACACTGCATGCATTTATTGCCTCTGGGCAAAGGGATATGGCATCCTACCTCGCCTTCTCAATACAGTAACATGCCCTTGTGTCCCAGCAGCTCTGTGGACAAACTGACAGGCACCTCAAATGTATGTGCTACAGCACGCAAGAACAAACTGGGATCAAGTGGTTCAAGCAGCGTTAATTTTTATTTTGGATAAATGAGATCTACTCTTACTCTACTACTACTAACTTTTACTCTTGTTTCAGAAAGTTTTCTTGTTTTGTTTTGGCATGTTTATCACAATCAAACTTAAGAGGAAAGTCTGAAAGCACACTTGAGACACACACCTTTGATTTCAAAACTCTAGAAAAAACAAAGCCGTCTTTCTCAGCTTTCCTGAGTGAAGTAAGCCAGCACGGCGCGTCAGCAGCAATACACATGTATAAATCATCAGGAATTAACTCACAGCTCTTCTCCACCCCAACCCCAAACCTTCCCAATCAGAACACCTGGGAAAGGGAAGGGGCAGGGAGGGAGAGAAAGCAGCTGCCAAAAGTCGGCACATGCTCCTACGGCGACGTTATGAGGTAGGCTTTGCATTTTGCAGAAGTGACAGCACTGGGGCAAAATCAGTCAAGAGTCAGCAAGTCTGGCTTCTGTCCCAGCATTTTCAGAGTCTGTAATGATCTACCTACAAAAATCCTCACTAGGCATGCAAGGACATATGCTCATGGGTGTACACCCTCATTGACTGATGTGGAAAACTGGAGAAACAACTGTCAACAGAGGACTGATTGGGAAATCACATCGTTGTTACGAAGAATTAATTAATACTAATATGGAAAAAGGTTCATATGTTAAGAAAGAATGCCATTTTTGTTTGCAAATGTATCTCCCTCTGTGTACACAAACAGGATCGAGTCGGATGTACCAGAATTGACAAGCACTGAGATGAGAACTTGTACCTGATACATTGTTGTTTTTTACAGTAAGCATATATTGCTTTTGAAATTTTAAGAAGCTTAAACTTGGACCAAAAAAACCAGAAAAGCTATTGTCCAAGGAGAATTTTATTCTATTGAACCAAGATACCAAGGAAGGAGTTTTTTCTACTTCGGCTCCCCCTCCTCCATTCCTTTTCACTCATTTCCCAACACCTACTAAGGGCTAGGCACTGCTGAGCCAGGCAGACAAAAAGCACCTACATCAGGGCGAGGTGCAAACAATAGTACGGTAATAGGAAATTACCTTGTGAGGAAGGGGAGTGTAATCTGGGCTCACACATTTGAAAGCAAAAGAACACACTTTGGAAACAAAAATAACATCTTGACAGAACAAGCCAAGTTAAGAAACTATTATCCAAAATGGGGTAATATATACCAATCAGAGGTCTCTGCCACTTTAGGGACATAGCTCATCTGTATCTAATCTGATACAAAAGACACTAAGAAAAAAGATTATGTTTCAAAAGTGGTTAAACAGCAATGAGGGGGTGGGGTGTCAGGTAACAAGTGGCTCTGGGAGTCGCTGGCATCCAATTATTCTTCAAAGCACCCTACCCATGTCCTAAAACGCCATCCTATCCTACAATACATGAACGAAACTAGCATAGAAAATGACAAATTTCTATCCAGCGCGTGCTGCAAAGGCCACTTCTTTACGACTGAAGTTAAAAGGGATCTCAGGCTGAAAGAGGAGAGAGGCACAGCCTGGTACAACCCTGAACGAAGAAACCAGGGAAGGTCAGGCCCTCAGGAGACAGAGAACTTGAGATGACTGGAGAAGATAATGTAGCTTCCCAAAAAGCAGTGTCAAGGTGGTGGCGGCGTTTCCTATGACCTCAGAGAGGCACGTAAGCCCAGCCACCGCATTCAAGCTGTAGAATTAGCGTTTTCATCCTTTATTCAATCCTCTCCCAAAGTGCTGTCAGGGGAAATCTGAACCGTCCTGCAACAGAGATCTGAGAAAAGCGGAGGGAAGAAGACTGTTCCAAACACGTTCCCAAAGGGAGGGAAGTGCCAAGGAAGGGGTCTGGAAAGAGGCCTGCACTGAGGGTAGAAGCTGGGTAGGGAAGTGGGAGAGAATTGGGGGGCGGGGGGCAGGCTACAGGAAATGAGGGGGAGGTGGGGGCAGCAGGGGAAAAGGGGATGGCGAGGACTAAGGGGCAGAAAACAGAGCGAGAAGAAAGGATAGAGGAGTCCAGGAGGGGAGGCGAGGTGGGAGGGAATAGGACGGCAGAGCAGCCGGACTGCGGGCACCCAGGACGAGGAAGACAGAAGGACCGAGAAGTCAAGGAGGAAGGGGAGGGCAGCCGGGTCGGAGAAGCAAGTGCAAAAAGAGAAAGAAAGTTGGCAAGGCACGGGAGCGAGAGACACAAGGGTGAGAAGGCACAAAGTTAGGAAGGGTGGCTCCGGGAAAGCGCTATTTTCGAGCCCAACGCCGGCGAAGCGACGCGCAAGCTAGGGGCGCGGCAGGGTATCTACACGGCGGCGGCCGGGGGTCCCCGAGAGCGCGGCGGGCGCCAGGCGGCCAGAATAGTTTTCCGGCGGCCGTGGCGGTGGGAGTGGCAGTCCTCGGGTAGCCCCCACCCCAGGGACCGCAGCTCCGCACTTACCAGAGCTCAGGGTGCGAGGACCGGCGGCGGCGGCGGCGGCGGCAGAGGGCAGCAAGGCCCGTGCC